TGCAGACTTCTCCGGAGCTCCACCACAACCTGTATTGTCAGGGGAAGAATGGCTTCCAGAGAGTCTCCGCATGTATTGTGCAAGGTCCTCCTTGTTTACAGCTTCCGAACGGCTCTCATGACCCCAGTCCACATGACCTCTGACCCCTCTGACCCCTTAGTCTGCATTCTCATGGTCTCCGAGTCCTTGTTCAGCAGCTGCTCCTGTGCTGACTCTAGACCTTTCTGGTTCTCAATGACAGGAGCAAGAGTGACCCATTGTATAGCATGTATTCCCAAGGGTTTTTTCATGTTTGAATGATTCACACACGTCCTTAGGTGGGCATCTGCAGCCAGTGCATGGTGGGCCAATTGTGTCATTGTTTCTCTGTGTCATGATAGATCTCAACAGAGCAGCGGTGGCTGACCTGAAGGCCGGGGCACCACAGCGCTCTCGGCTGCATGGCTCCCCGTGGCCTACGAGGCAGGGAGCGGCCACATGGCTCTGGTGGCCTACGAGGCAGGGAGCGAGCTGCCGGTTGGAAGACCTGCACTCCCCGCCCGTTGCAAAAAAGTATTTTAATCAAAAAGTGAGGTTGATTGTGATTTTTTGACCCTGATGGAATTACACCAGTGCAAATTGTACCCAGGAACACTATGGTGAACTCAGAATATTATAAGGGTTAATTAGAAGGTTTGAGAAACTAGATGTGTAGAAAATGGACTAAAAAATGGGCAAACAGCCTTCCTCCACTAGGACAATGCTCTGCACCACACACTGATTCCAGTATGGCAATTTCTGTCAGATAAAAACATTACCATGTGTGCACATTCACCTTATTGACAGGTCTGGCATTGTGAGACATCCGGCTCTTCCCGAGTGAGGGGCCAATATTTTGAATCAATTCAGGACATTGAGGTAGTCATGAAAGCATAACTAAAGACACCCATGAAAGAAGACATGCAGAACTGCTTCAGAAAGTGACCAGAATGATAGAATAAATGTGTTCAAAGCAAGGGGAAGTATTTTCAGGAGGACTAGTGGCAATAAATTTTACTGTCATAAATTTTGAAAATTTAAACATTCATCACTGTGATCATACCTTGCAATTCATTAATATTAGGTAGGTCAGAAAAACAAAAGCTAGATCTTGGGAGAAAAAGCAATAAAATTGAGAGATCTTTGGCTAGATTGATCAGGAAAAAAAAGAGAGGGAATACAAATTACTGTTATCAATAATAAGAGATTTGATAACATGACAGATTCTGAAGATATCAAACATACAAAAGGGGAATATTATGAACAATACTACAATAAATTTGATAACTTTCATGAAAATAGACAAATTCCTCAAAAGACACAAGCGAGAAAGATTAAATCCAAGAAGAAGCAAACCTGTGTCAGGTCTCTGTGCCTAACCATCCCACACTATGTAGGGCAAGAAGTCTCCCTTCCCTAACAGGGTGGACAGGAGGTATTCAGAAGAGTGAGCAGCCTACTGCTGAATGGAGAAAAAGTGGTAACACGACCTCAAGGAATCTCAGACTCATGACCTTTTACATTCTTCATCCACAGTGCAACCCATCCCCTTCCACCCAAGCCATCAGGTCTCAGGGTCTTAGCCACTCCCTTATTGACTGACAACTGTCTAGACCAGTTTGTTTCCTGAGTTGCAGGCCAACCACGCTCCCAGTTGACTACAGGACACCACCACTTAGGCTTCGGATTCTTCAAATTCAGTAGAACCCAACCAAAGGTACTTTTCTTCTGTCCCATCACCAGAGACACTCTCTTCATCTCTGTGTAACCAACATTTAACACAGTGGCCTAGCACTTTCAACAATTTATTATTAAATGCTTAAAGCACTCACTTGGGCCTTTGGTGATTCTGGTTTGCTCTCTTCTGCTGTGTGTCGCTCTGTTTCTTAGTTCAGAGGTTCTCAAACATTAACATGCATAAGGATCACCTGGAAAAGTTGTTAAAACACATTGTCCAAGCGCCAACCACAGAGACCTTGATTCATTACATCAAGGTATAACACATAAATTTGTAATTCTTGCCATCCTACAAGTGGTGGCAATGCTGCTGGTCAGAAGGTCATACTTTGAGAATCACTGCTCTAGATCAAGTAAGTGCAGGGTCACTGATCACTTGGACTATAGATTTCTATTCTGAATGATCGTTCTCTTTGTAGCAAGTCTTTTTGGGACTCTGATACCTGTTTTACCCTGAATTGTGAGACCTGTAGTAGTTTGTCTGCAAATTTCTTATTTTTACTGCCAAAACAAACTCGTTAACAATATTTAAACTTTCCTAATTTTCCAGTCTTGCCTAGAGTGAAGGTCCCAGGCTTTCCACTTTCCAGCCCTGCCACTGAGCATAACATTTGCAAAGGCTGGAGCCCAAAGTGATGCCAGCATTATGTAATGCTAAATTTATCAAAGACAAAAATTCTCAGTCTCTGCTTAAATTACATGGCATGAATAAAACATCCTT